CTGCGTGTCTCCGTCTCCCCGTTTCTAAGATGGGCACGTTTAAAGTGCCCGCCTTTAGGGCTGTTGTGAGAATTAAATGAATGATGAAAAGTGCTTTTCAGTAAGAGAGAGCCTTTAGTATTGCTGTCATTAATACTCTAACAGTTGACGCTACAAATACTGCTGATACCAGTAGTACAGCTCTTCCTGAGCTAACTGAATTTCTGATCTAAGATACTTGTCAGGGTGTACTTTCTCTGCAGAAGTTTTTAAAAAGCTTTGAAGCAGAACTTGGTTTCGTGGGTTAATGGTGGATCTACCAAACGCTTACCATAAGTTATCATATAGTCCAGCATATACTGTTAAATATAACTACTAAGATTATTTTTCTCACTTCTTTATTTAGTGCAGTAAGGTAGTGATTTGTAATGAGCACCGGGAAAAAGCTTTGTTTTTTGATTTTCCTGCTTTAGAATCTTCTCACTTTTGTTGCTATGTGGTTTATCTTAGCTCTTAGCAGCCCATTTATTGGGGTTAAATTTATGTTAATATCTATTTTATAGGAAACCAGGAATTTACTTCCTTGTTTTAATACATTTAAATGTATTATTGAAATTTAATAATATATACAAATATAGACAGAACGGTACAATAAATTTTCCTGTACTTACCACCCAGCTTCAGTGATTATCAACTCATGCCAAACTTATTTCATCTGCATCCTCACCCCCACTCTCTTCTTCTATATTATTTTTGAAAAAATCTCAGACATTTTAAAGTACCTTTGAAAAGAAATCAAAGATTAAGGTAGGATTTACTTGGAGGTTTTCGATCACTAGCTCTGTGTTACCGCTTGGGGAGGTGTAGAGAGAGGGCTCTGATCAGTAACTTCTAGGGGAGGTTGCTAGGACTATCCCAAATACACTATCCTGGCATGTACCTAGTGCCACTTAGTGTTTTATAATGGAACATATTTATTGTCAGCTGTTAAATTTGGTTTTGTTTCAAAAGTTCATAGAATAGGTGTGTAGTACATATTTACCTAATGTGTTTCTGTAATACACTCTATAGGTTAATAGATAAAAATAATAATGCTTGAAATATTTATAATTGTGAAATTAGAGTGGCTGTCTTTTCAGGGAAATTACTATAATAATTGGGAATCTGTGGCAGAGAAAAAGTATCTTTATGGAAGGAAAAAAATTTAAATTGTAAGCAGGAAAATTCTTTTGAGGCTTCTGTGCAAAGTATTTTCCTTTTCAGTTTGTTGAGCTGTTAGATTAGAGATACTGGTTTAATTTTTGTCTAGGCCCAGGCATGGATCCATTGCTTTGTGTAACTTGAATGGTAACTATTCAATTTTTGGCTTGGGTCCTTGATTAAACCATAATGTAACTTTAGCAGCAGCCCTTTTAGTTACTATTATTTTGGAATGTGCAGGGGTATGTACTTTTCTATGCAATATTAGTATAAACATAATTCAGCTCCTTCAGATAAGTTTTTTATTTTTATATTTTTATTTTTCTTACTATTTTCTTGAGACAGAGTCTGACTCTGTCGCCCCGGGTAGAGTGCTGTGGTGTCATCATAGCTCACAGCAGCCTCAAACTGCTGGGCTCAAGTGATCCTCCTGCCTCAGCCTCCTGAATAGGTGAGACTACAAGAGACTACAAGCATGTACCAGCACACCTGGTTAATATTTCTATTTTTCGTAGAGACGGGGGTCTCACTCTTGCTCAGGCTGGTCTCGAATCCCTGAGCTCAAGGAATCTTCTCGTCTCGGCCTCCCAGATTGTTAGGATTACACGTGTGAGCCACCGCGTCTGCCAGACAAGTGTGTTTTAATTGGATATGTGTGAAGCATCAACAGGAAGTATTGTGGTTTAGTCATACACTGCCTCCAGTGTTGAGACTGTTTTGTGTTCTTAGGTTGTATCACTAGTGTTTGTGCCAATAGAAAGACTTACACAAGATGAGCAGGGAAATATCCTTTCATTTCTGTGTGACTAATTTTTAAAAAGTTGCTTTTATATTTGTAGTGGAATCAGAGACCATGGTAATGGTCTTGTGATGCTTCACATGATCATTTTGAGTAAAGAAGGGTGTATTCTAGCTTTTCTGCTTTTTTTGTTTTGTTTTTAAACATGATCACTTGATATTACTT